CATTTGCTACCCATTTTGCATGATTGTAATGTATGTATTGACTGTATACATTGTATTGTTCATTAAAGTTTGTTTTTCAAATTCAATTATTTGGTCACTGTTCTTTCTGATACAGTAGTTTCCCTCCTTGGTTTCTATCTTTTAAATAAATAGTTGGTAGTCTACAGTCTCTAGCCTAGTGTCCTGGTTGTCTACAATTGTAGCATTTTGTAGACATTGAAGGTTGTCTGTCTGTTTTCAGTTTTTGTTTTTTCCAGTTTTGTTTTAGTTTTGGGCTGAAGCTTTGAGTATCAATATCTATTGTGTCTGGGTTTCTATGATTCCCTTGAATGGTTGGCCAATAAACATAGGTGTCTCCCCATTTATATTTTGGTTTGTAGTTAGTAGAATGTATAAGAGTTTGTACTTCTATTGTGTAGAGGTAGTTTTGAATCCTTGTTATCCACCAGCTAAGATTTTCTTTGTATAGTTTGTCTACTACAAATATGATTCCATAGCAAACCAAATCTGGTAAGGAAGATATGAACTTTACTTTCCTGGCTGTGTTAGGGTAGGTAGTCATTAGTACTAATGAAGTTAATCTTTAGAATTTGAGTAGAAAGTTTGCTAAGTTCTCTAGACAATAGTCTTTGCATTTAATTCCTACTAGTTTCTGAAGGTTAGCTGTATCTTCATCCCTTACTGTACCTGTCTAATGACTCTTCAGGAATGCTATAAACTTTCCTAAGTTTAAGAACATACCTAGTACTAATGATTGTGGTTTGGTTATTGTCCCATTACTTTCTACCTTGATTTATACATAACTTTGGATCCAATCAAAAACTGTGTCTTTTAGTGATGACACCAAATAATATGCTTGTTTAGCTTCATTTGTTATTCCATTTAGTTCCAGTCTAATCATGTTTGTGTTGAGCCAAGAATTGAATCCTTTGTTTGGTTTTCCATAATAATACACTAGTTTTAATTTTGCTATGTCTATAGTTACTAATGTCAGTACTGTTGACAGTGTGTTACTAGTTTGGGTGGGTGTGGTTGCTAGTAGGTTTGTACTAGTCATTAAGTGTCTACTGATGAATCTTGTAAGGATGTCCTAGTTCCTTCTGTAACTGTTTCATAGGTTACTTCCACTGTTTGTTCTATAGCTGGTTCCTCAGCTATAGTTTCTAATACTGTTTTAAGTGTTTTGATAGGTTCTCCTGACAGAACCAGTCTTAGGACTTCATTCATTTAGAATGCTGGTCCAAAGGTTGCTGTCATGAGTGTTGAATTCCTTAAGTTTACTACTGATAGAAATGCCTCCAGCATTTGTTCAACTAGTCTTGTGTTCTGTATTACTTGTTGAGTATTAACACAAAACTGTGCTATGTTTTCTATAACCTTCTAGCCATACAATGCTACTTTTTCTTCTAAGTCTTGTACTTGTTTCTAGCTTTCTAGTTAGTGCTCATAACCTTGTCTTGTTAACTTTAGTTTAACGTCTTTGAGTGCCCCTTCAAGCCTGTAAACCATATTGTGTACTTTTCCTAGTTTATGATTTTCTGATATGTCTGGCCAGTCAATTATTAATCCTCTGTACCTTTCTAAGTTTCTATGTGTCTCTGTGTGTTCCAGATTTTGCTGTTGCTCCAGTCTCCTTATTTGTTGTTCTATTCCTCCTACTGTCTCCTCAGGTATTCCTACATTACTAAGTAGTGTAGTGATTAGGGATAGAGGTAGGGATCTAATCTCTATTAGAATAGTCCTACAGTATATTGATCTAGGAATAGTCCTTAATAGTAGTGTAGGCCTTCTCTTATAGTTACTATTAAGTAAAGAGGTTAATAGTCTATACTACTACATACTATTGTGAAGATAGTTGTTTCAGTATATTCCTGTTGGTTTTGTGAAGCTAGTTATGCTTCTTAATGTATTACTATTACATTCTAGCAGATTGTTCAAAACAGGCTACAACAGTATAATACTTTACACAAGAAGTGATCATACTTGATAACTGTTGTTATAGACTATATTTCTACACAGGGATTACACCTCTCATTGTAGGTTCACAGGCAACAGGCAGGTCCTTAACCACATAACTACTAGTCCCAAATGTAGTCTCTATCTTTGCTTGACTAGGAGTATATCCTTAGGAGTGTTGATAGTACTTGTACTCAGTAGAAGGAGAGTTAATACCCTTAAGAGTAGTTTAACACGTTTGTATTTCAAGGTGAATAGAGTAGTGTTTTTGTGTAAAGAGTTTATTAGGAGAGATGAGTGGGTTACAGCTAGTTCACAAGCTGTCCTCAAATAAACTGTTATTGAGTACAATGCTCTTTACACAATAATTGAAGTGCTTTTTATACTACTCTAATTATTCCTTTATCCTCCTATTTCTTCACAAATTGAGTGGTTCTGTTTATTAGATAGTCTGTGTGCTATGTTACAGTATTTTTAGTATGTTGTCATATACTCTATAGGATGTGCATTAGTGATTTTGTGTGTTTGAGGCATTAGCTATTTCTGTTTTGAGGTAGCAATCTACATTAGATCTTTTGCACTGTATGCTTCTTATACAGCTATTACATTTACTTCCTTAGTAGCACTTCTTTTCCTCAGCTAAGCTTAATTAGCCTTTTCATGATTGGTGCTATTAGTTCCAAGTTCCAGGTGGCTCTGTCATTGTGTGTCTGTGTAGTATAATGACCTTTGTGTAAGGCTTGCCTGCTTTACACTATTTGTTGAGTACATAGGGGTCTTCAGATCTAAGTTCCATAGATCCATAGTGTTTGTGTCCTACTAGTATTATCAGATGGTGATCTCTGTATATTACTTTAATATTATATTGCTTTGTTGGTCCTTTGTAATGACTGGTTGTCAATACAGTGTAGCTGTGTGTTCTGTTGTCTCAGATGGTACTCTATATTGAAGCAAATATTTGTACTGTGTTTTCTTCGTATTCTTAGTGTGTTTTCATTGATAGATGTAATTGTACTGCTTCACATTCCTTGTGTATTGTTGGGTCGTATATCTTGTATATATGTATCTTGAATGATGCTTCTTTCCTTTCTTGTTTTATTCCTTTGTGTATTACATGTTGTAGTCAATGTTGTGGTTGATTGAATAACATTTGGTATGCTACTACTTGCATAGTATTTCTCTCTATTTGTATGCTTCTTGTTTTGCAGATTTGTCAATCCTGGCACATTTGATATGTCATTATTGCTTGTACACATTCTTGAAGTTGTGTCACATGATTGCATTTCTGGCATAGTCTCTGTGTGTCTTGTAGTGAATTCCAGTTTCCTTGATTGTGTGCCATTACAAATCCTTCCGAATCCTTTCACTACTACTCACCTCTCCTGAGTTGAGTCTGTCTACACTACTCACATCATCCTCTCCCTTTAAGCCAGAACATCCTAGAGATATACTTTCAAAGTTATCCATAACTATTACTGAGTTTACTACACCTCTGATTGTGTATTGTATTATAGCTAGAGTATGTAACATGCTTACACAGACACATTTCCCTTACAGCCTAAATTAGCTCACTCAACACTCTGGATTTCCAATCCAGGTAACCTACTTACACTTGCTACACACTGTTACAGTGTGTCCATCTTTTTGCTCTTATTGTCACTTGCTAATCACTCTAAGCTTGTCTTACAGGCACAGCCTCAATCTCTACAATCTACTCAACCTTATTCTACACACACTTGCAATTCAACTTGTAGGGACTGAGTAATGACCAAAACATAGTGACAAAGACTATGTTGAACAGTCTAAGAATGCATTCATTCTTGTTCAACACAAATCCCACTTGCAGAAGAATGAGGCAGAGGCAGCTGGTAGTGTAGGGGTTAGGACTGTAGAAATAGCATATTATTTACTATTTTTGTATTCTATAATTTAAATATAATTATATTTGATTAATTATTTGATATAAAATTGTATAGTAAGCAAAAGCAAGCTATTCAAACACTTGTAATGACTTGTAAGCATTATAAGCAGATATTACACTGTCACAAATTAATAAGTATGTCTTAACCTTGTAATTTAGGAAGTATATTATAATCACTTGTATAACTTGACAATTTATAAATTTATATCAGAAATTGCCAAGTTTTAAAAGTATTTTTTCTTGCTTATTTAACATTGTACTTTCCTTGCTTAACCCCCCAGGAAGATTATAAGTAATTGGACAAATTTTATAAAATTTATAAAATATACAAGATTACAAGTAAGTATAATACTTAAGACTTTTTCGTGATGACTGCAGTGCTGAGATGGAGCAAGTGTCAATAATATTGACATGCAAACATGAAAATGCAGACAGATCTTGCATGCTGAGCTCCAGAACTTACGATCCTTCTTAACACGCGTCAGAGCAGCACCACCTGTACTGCACATCATACATCTCCCTCCCTTCTACACCAGGGCCCAGGCCATGGATAGCAACAGATGTTCCGAGTACTATCTATCTCAATAAAAAGATGATAGGCATTGTGGAGTGTTGTATTTGTGAAGGATGACAAATTCCACCAGTCAGTTCCGTGGCCCCTGCTCTGTGGAAATGGCAAATCCTCATTGGCAATGGGGACTGATATGACTGGTTGGCAAGATGCAACGCACATACTACACCTAATGTGTGCAAGGCGCCATGACTTTCTTGCTTCATGTTAACTCCCACTGGAGAACCTGTACAAGCACTGCTTGTGTTCCATCTTTGGTATGAGTGCTGTATATTTGGCAGAAGGCAAACAAAGTGACAGGTACTCAGACGTGAAGACGTGAATATTAGGCTGCACCTGTCAACACGTGCCAACTTGAACATGCATATTTTGACCTCAGTTTCAATCTTAGATTAGATTCTCTTTCTCTGCATACTCATAATCGTGTTATTGTCTTGCACGAATCGTATCTCAAAGCAGGTAGACAGTTGTAATTTTTATTTAAACTAGTACGTATGCCAATCTCTCTATGGTATTGTCTTACAGACTGTTACAGTCATTATTGTTTAACAATCACTCCTCATCATTTTCGTCTAGATCGTCCTTTTCACTCTCTTTCAAAAATGGTGTAAGGTACTCCTTCACCACATATATCCCGTCAGACCCCTCAATCTTCCCGGAAATTTCAAGAAAGATCCGTTGTATTTCCTTTTCCTTTTTGCCACGTTCACTACTGTACTCATCCAAGGGTTCGATTTCATTATGCAACTGTACAACCCTTGCCTTCTGTGTGTCGGAGGCTGCATTAACGACTGCTTTCATCAGTTCTGCTGTTATCTTGCTCCTTTGAGCCTTTGTTGCCTCAATTTTTTGCTTTACTCGTGACCCGCGCTGATTTGTTGCGGTTCTCTGGACAACATGTCCAAGATATGTCCACGTATGTGCAACCAGGTCATTCACCTGTCCAACAAACGGATCACCTTTTGTTTCTAAGGAAGGAGGATGTTCATGTAGCCACTTTTTAACATCATCTTGAGCTTCGCGACGTTGATGCTTTTTTGCCATTACGTTTGGCCACAGTGTTCTTGCATTCAAATCAAAAAACCATCACCATGTCCCAACTATATAAGTTTGGTTTGCTTGTTAGTGGAATGATGATTTCACAGCCACCAATGGGAAACTTTTGCAAAGTTTGGTAGCGTTGGATTTGGCAAGGGCATGCAAAGCATCAGCTTGCTGCATTCACAGGAAAGAGCAATGATGGACATACTCACAGCCCTTGCTTCACATCTTTCTCAGTAGCCAGTGGTTTCAGCACAACCATTAATCTCTAGAGTCTTACCTGTATGACTTTCTGTGCTGCATACTTTCAATTAACAGTAATATTACAAACCATCAACCCTTTATCGAAAGCAGGAGTTACACAATTCCGGCTTTCGACACCAGACAATGCATATTAGGAAGCGCGATGTATTGTATGAGCTCATTACTCTCAGGACCGCTTTGCAAGAATAAGTGCCAAGGGCCACTCAATCTCCACTTCTGCATCATCTCCTCCATTGGATCCGGCTTTTGAAAAGCCCTCTATGCCCATGTTCGTTTTTAACGCATTTATGAATCTTTTAACGACGTCGCCATCTGGATGATTCGCATCATCGGGATTGCGTACTTGGAACGTATGTAATGAAGAGAAGGAACGGAGGTAGTCCTCGAAGTCTGTCCATCTCATCTTCTTGTGCAAAATAACTTGACGAGGATTAGGGAGGGAAGGGAAGTGTGAACCTAATATGAATGTTAGAACATTATTCATTAAAGCAGAATTAGAAGGCACTCACCAGAGAAATAGACACGGTCTTCGGAAGAAAACGCTCCTGGAACAATAGAGGATGCGCTTGGTATGTCTTGCAACAGATTCTCAACTATGCTTCGTCCAGGCTGTTGCCAATGTGGTCCAAGACTCGTAGCAGGGTCAGGACCATGGGTATATGCGTCAATGATGGGCGTCAGCGATGGATAACGAGACAGCCGCATTTCCGAGTAGCCCTACAGCAACATAGGCCTAGCAATTTAACTACAGTCTTAAATGATGACTGACCCAAACGGCAACCGTGCCGTGTGGACGCAGTACTCGGGCTAGCTCAGGCCAGAGTACCTTCCAGTTGAACCAATGTGCAGCCTGGGCTAGATCCAAATGAGTCGTGTAGAAAGGAGAACATTGATATGAGCAGGTTGGACATACCTGCGATAACCAGATCGACACTACTATTTTCTAAGAAACCGAGATTCTCCGCTTGAGATTCGACAAACAGGAACTGCTTCCTCGCTGACTCCAGGTCATGTCCTTTCAACCCATCAAATGTATATTTCTGCGCCCCAACAAGCATTTGCTTGCTGGGATCAACACCGATGACGTGTTTAAATTGGCGCAGCTCAGCCGTCGCTTGGCCTGACACACGGAAATAAGCTTAATCATCATCTTATCACAATGCCTCTGACGCACCCGTTCCACAACCTAGGTCTACCGCAACATCCCAACACGTTTGTTGTTCCTTGGCCAAGGGTTGCACGAGGTCTGAGCCGTATTCGTGGTACCTAAAGACAAAATCGAAGAGCTGGCGAGGATAAGTCGGACGCGATGCGGCGTAGCCTTTAGCATTGAACGAAGCCTTGGCAAATGCCGCCATCACTGCTGGCGCTGGCTGGCGGTGTGCAACGAATTTTTCTCCATTGGTAATTAGGATAACTAAACCTGTTAGGCTTGATTAGGTTTTCGTGGGAATATTGATGGTTACATGCACTTTGTTGGGTACAGTTGAGTATGGTGACATAAAATCAGAGCGCTTATTGTAAACCAATCCACCAGTGACGATTGCAAAGTGCTGGGCTTATCCCCATGTATGAATAACGATGGCTGCCGGAACCAAAATATAGGCATCCATAGTCGAGCTCCCGGTCTCCATCCAGACACTTGCCATGAATGATTGCGTTACTCGCTCATCTTTAACAATTTATGCTTTGCCATCAATAATGTACTTAATATCAAATCTACTTTGGCGTTCCTATGTCTGTCATCCCTGTCATCGTGTCCAATAAACGAGCAGGCACTAGTCATGGAGGCGGAGAAATGCACGTGCTGCAAAGGTCAAAGAACATTCGAATCGGAAGCATCTCATTATCCGTCGGAGGTCGGATGGAGACAGAAGCGAGGTGGAATGATGGAAATGACTGAATTGAACTTATCAATAAAATATCACATTGGCGCAAAAGTGATCAAGGCGCCCGCAATTGTCAGTCAGTACTTGAACCCAAACCACACTCTCCTTCACCCTCTTCACGCTATCTTCAACACGTATCAACCTTAACGCCTTACTTTGCATTATCATTCGCTCTGAGCGATCACACTATGCGTCTACAAAACCTGATTATCGCATTCCTGTCGCTCGCTGCTCTGGCAGCAGCATTGCCTTTATCCTCGCGTGCGGTACGTCTTACAAAATTTCTTACTCCCGGCATGATTTTCCTGAGAAAAGCCCAACACTTTCTCTCATCCTATTCGGCTAAACGTATCCTCGACCCTGTATCTGCAGACTCCAAACGACCTGAAACGTGGAAATGGCGGTAGTGCAGACTGGAGAAAGCGCGGAAACGGAGCAGATTGGTGAATCGGCCCGATGTTGCAAATTTTCTCCCTGTATCGTAATCACGTCGTCGAATACCCAATTACCGCCAGTTCCGCGAGATATATCGATCCGAGGAGACAGAGGGGGCATGGAAGGAGGAAGACGTCCTGAGTTAAGGGGCAAAGATGAATGGTGGTGGAGGACTTGCTCAGCAAATTTTCGTAACGCAGCAATCCAGTTCCTGGCGTGCAAAGAATGTGCTGATCGCGTTCTCATCGGAAATTCAGCTGGTGGTGATACTGGCTTGTTTCGATCGATGTCCGATAGAGGAGCTGGCGCATGTCGAGCATAGTTGGCTATGTCTTGTTGGGCAAATCAAGTTCTGTCTTCATTCATCAATTTGTCGCCGCCGCCGCCGAGCAGCACTGCAATGGAAGTTTGATCCGAATAGTGACCACAGCATGCGAACCATGTCAGTGCTAACGTTTCAGGCCAAAAAATGTATGCCGCTCGCTCAACGGCAAGTTCCAGGCGAACAAACAGGTCAATGAGGTCAGAATGGACACGTCTCCGGAAGGATCGGTCCTTTTATCAGATTAGGAGTACCATTGTCTGTCCCGTGCTATGATGACCCTACACATTCCGTGACAGCTAAGGAGCGCCATCCGACAAATGCAGCTCAAACACGACGAAACACTGGTCAACGTTCCTCAAGGCACCAGAGGCGTCTGAAAACTTCACAGCGGTTGCAAGAAAAGCCTGTCATCTGAACAGAGATCACTCGGAGCAATAGTAGAGAAGGAACTGTGAGCGGAATTTGACTTCAAGATGTTCCTTAGTTTCTATAGTGGAAGATAGCTTTGCAGCACTTCCGAGGCCACAAAGGATAAATCAGGAGATCTGAGCACGTGAGGGACGCGAAACACAGCTTGACGCGCGGTTTCAATTTTTTGAATTCAGCCTGATTCTCACACTCAACTCTCACATACCTGCGAAGCTGTGTCGTTACTCCGACTTCGACCGTCCTGAAACATGGCGAAGTCTTTGGATACGGGGTATTTCCTAGTATACCAGCAGTTTCCCCCCAAGCCAAGTTCCGACATACCACAGAGAATCATACCCACCAGCAACGCATTTGTGTTCACGACACAGGATCCGAGTCGGACCAGTCACCTTGTACAACCGCTTGGTAGGAGTTCATCTTTGTTTGCAAGTATAAAAGGCACTAGTACACTCAGCTTACAAAAAATGCAGTACTTATCTCGATGGTCCAAAACCCATATCATGCAATTCAACGTCATCATGGACGTGAATACGAGGCAAACACCGGATGAGAAGAAAAGAGCAAGCAAATTGACGAGTGCATAGTCCATGAATAGTTCAATGTTCTTTATTGCATTAAGGCGCAAGGCGCTTCTCAGTCGAGGTCTTTTCTAAACACTTTCTCGGCACAGCATTAGGAGTTACATCTCCAGGTCGCAGTTCCGCCCAGCGTCAACAATAAATCAATGCCCAAGGAGACGTTGTCCATGAACGACACACAAGGCTCACCGATTTGGCATGCATACAACTCCTTTGTGCTATCAGCGATTTTGACAGGTTCTTGACGTTACATTGAGTCCTAAAGGTCATAGAGACTTGACGATTCGGCATGTGATGCACCTTCAAACTTGTGCGACCTCATCAAACCGAACTGTCCCTGTGCTTGCGTTATATAGCGTGCGATGCGGAGCAATCACCGCGGCTTCCCCGTAGACCATCGAGCTTAATCTTGCGAATAGCATCACCTGGTAATAACAGTCAAGTGAGTCCGGCTCGTCAAAACCTAAGTTTCTTCGCAACCTTAAATGACGAAATATCTCTACAACTGTTATGCATCGGAACGTTCCGCCTCGTTAATTATTGTGTCAGGTTTTTTTAATTTACAAAATGCTATGTGAACTACATGAGCAATTCACATGGTAGCAGAAATTTGCCTCGACGATTCCGTTGCGACAAGAAGTTCCCAGGCTGTACAGGCAGTAATGACGAACCTCTCGATACATGTGAACTTTGCCGATTGTCTCTTCCTTCCCTCAGGTTTGCTATGAACCTGATTATTGACGTATTGGACATCCGAGACTGTCCGCTTGATGTCGGGTTTGCGGTGAGGAACCACGACTTCGAAACCAGTGGATCCGAGTGAGCAAACTCCGCGGCATTCAGGATTACATACTCGAGCTCAGTAAATTCAGATTGGTACAGCGGTGAGTGACTTGGCCAAATGTAAATGACCCGCAAATGTGCTTCAGCCTTGTATTGCAGACCGGAAAAACGCACCTAATTCAGCCACCCAGCAATGCCAGTCCTCTTCGAAATTAAAGATTTACGGCATCCCTAAGAGTAAGTTCGATGTAGTACTGAGGATCTCAGGATGATCTCACGCGGACAATATCAAGTCGGCCGGTTGGCTGTGCATTTGCATTGACCGCACGGAGGGGAGGCTCGGTGGATCATGGAGATAGCCTGAGTTAACCCACAAGTTGAACCGTACACAGTAAAGTTTGGCTGGTAACCCGCCTTTGCGACCCTGGCAGGAATGGGAGATTTCCCTCCGTCTATGAGCGCGATTCTAGCGCCCGAAAAGCTGGTATCATCCTTGCCCGCATGGGAATTTATTTCTTGCAAGTATGCGTTAGTAATGCTGCTGAACTTTGCTTTTACCTTTCTTTGCATATTTCTTGAATGTCCATCATCTCACTAGCGTATGTTTACTACTTACATCGTGCATTATAGCCCTGCAGAGTAAGGTTCTTCAGTAAGTTCTCGTCATGAAGATTGGAAGATCATCTTCCCATCGAAAAAGGTCCGTAACCGTTTTTGAAGACAAGGTTAGAATGAAGGTTGCATTCAACAGTATCCATCAACAGCCCTGTTTCCGGTTTGTCCAGATGGTCGGTCAGCGCTCTATGAGATCTATCTGAGAACCAGTTGACTCTGCTTCAGCAAATCTTTCTCCTTGTTAACATCGGCTCGATGTTCTCTACTATGTCTTCAAAATTCGACGAAGTAAGAAGCTTCTCCTAGTTGGTCTTCCGTCTCACAAACCAGAGGTGTTCCCCTCCACAGTTCATTCCTCTCCACATGCTTTGTTTTATGAAACTGATGGATGGAACAAAGAACCTGTGTGGCGGGTGCATAAGAATCATGTGTATGCTCTGAATAATTAATTTAAGTAATTCATGGTCACTGAATATCTCCCCGTTTCTCGCATCATTCTACATGCAGGTTCGTCTGCATGTTCGACTTATGCGTTGCTACGGTGCAGCATGGTTCATCACTGACCTGAGCAATGGACGCACCTAATCGCCGAGGAATGACAAAACCCAGCATCTGTATATCAGTCATGACGAGAACGTTACCTCGAATCAATGGCCTAACATCACATTTGTCTCTATGGTGTAGTGACGTCTACACGAGGAGTGGCTTTCGTAGTGATCTCTCTGGTCTAGAACAAGCGCTCTTACTAACCATTGAGCGTCTTTCCTTATCTTTTCTGACTACCCAAGGGGAACGTTTTGATGGTAAAAATGATGGTAGAGAGCTAGAACATGCTGGAACACTACCTACGAATCATCATATCATTCCGACACATACGTAAACGCGCCTCTAGCTCAAGTACGTCCTCTCAGAAATGAACGGCGACTGATGACTCCATTTAAGCAAGCAGAGCAGAAGTAGTTACTGCATCACCTGTACTTGGAATGGAAGGTTAATATCTTTGTTTATTTATATGAGATATACAAGTGACTATGGATATTGTTATATGCAGTGATAGTACTTATGAACAGTCCTAGTTAATGACAATGGGTATCTCGAGTAATAGCGCTTGGACGATGGACGAGGGGGCGGGGGACGGATAGTCTCTGAATTATTAATTAGGGATAGTTGTAAGTAAATAAAATAAGTAAAAGCACGTAAGGAGAGTCGAAAATCATCAGATGCAGGACGATGGGAAACCGTTATGAACAAATTAACAAATAATAATAATACTTAACTTTGGACAATGGCTGAAAAGAAAAAGGGCAGAAAAGAGAGTCGTAATGAATAATAAAGACTGTGAAACAGAAGATGGGTATGATATGTGGAAGGATCCTGCAGAATTCTGTGTTAACTTGCTGGTGGTTCTGGCACAATTCGGGGTGCCTTCATGAAGTCGATTAAGCGGACCAAATATTAACGTAGTTTGGTTGGAATCGTGAGTTCGTTACGTTGATTCACATGTAACTGCGCAGGTAGTGCATAGAATCGGGTCGAGGTTTAATCCAGTTCACCACGCTGGCGAGTGCGTCCGCGAATGCTGCGGCGGAGAGGACATCATCTGTTGAAAATATCCACCCAACCCAGATCCATCTACCGCTTGAGGCTGGGGCTGCGCGAGCGGGGTCTGACCGAGTAGTGGTGATGCGTGCCATCGATCAACGCCTATTCCGCGCGAGGGGTCTAGTGGCATCGCCCCATGTCGCATATAGGGAGACGGCGCAGCAGACGGTGCAGAGTTCGCAGTCGAGGGGCGTGAAATACACGCGCTTGTGTATCCATCCATTGCATTTGCTGCGTCAAGCGATACGTCGCCGGGATTACGACCGAGTTGGAATGAAAATGGGGAGATTCCGACTGGGGGATATTCACCCGTTCCTGAGACGCTTCCAGAGCTCGCGGGGCGGTGCAAATACTGATGACCCGTTGCCGATGCACCTACTCCGATACCCACTCCCGTGCCCACATAAGATCCAGCAGTCGAGGGTCGCGAGCTCGCAGATGTCCGACGAAGGGAGTGAGAAAGTGAGAGCGAGCTAGCGGCTGTCGAGGGACGTGATGACACACTTCCACTGCTGATATTTGGGATGACCGAGACATGACCCGCGGGTGAATATCCTGGAAATCCAGGACTGTGCTGCACAGAGTGCGACTGCACGTGTGGATAAAGAAAATCGCTCGGCGTTGAGGACCGTGTGTTAGACTCGACGCATCCATGATTGAGCTGGCTCAGGGAAAGGCCGAGTGCGCCGTTGTCGGAGCTGATGCCATGATCATGCCCATGTAGATGGTGCTCATTCTGCAGGTTCGAGCTGTGAAGGTACTGTTGCTGGCCATCCATGATATCTGCCATGCTGTTTTGGAAATTCACCCATTTGCAAATTCATTTCAATCATCGTCAGAACCAATGAGTCAAGTAACCAGGAAGGCTCAGATATTCACCTGTGCCGGCGAGTCTCCATCGCTTGAGGTGCGAGAGAAGAAAGGATCTGCGGGGCACTATCGACAAAGGCAAAGAAACGAAATTCAGCATCTGGAACGTCACAGCGATGTGCGGAAAATGCGTTGTCAAGAAAATCCAACAAACCTGTGCCGACGGTCGTTCAACAGGCTGGTCCCAACCTGCAACATGGTTGGGTCCGCAGAGAAGGCAAGAGTAGGTCCACCAGTTGCGCTGTCGTGGTCCGAGCTGGGCGAAGGCGCCTCCGATTTGAAGGATGGCTGCGGAGTCCCGTCTACATCACCGGAGTCTGTCGGCGACAGGGACGATGTACCTGCCTCGCTCGTTGCGGCGGAATCGACTTGATCAGCAGACGAACGAGCCTTGCGCGAGGGGACTTTCTTTTTGGGCGGCGGAATTTCAGGCCAAGTGCACTGTTTTGGTGTGCCGTACACATGATGGTAGAGTTTTGAACCCAGAAAAATATAAAAAGCAAGTGAATAAGTCAGTAATCAACAGATGCCGAAGGCAAGAAGGCGGATATGAAATAATACTAAAACTCGATAGAAACACGAACGGGACGAGTAACGTTGAGGCAAATGAAGTAGATGCCGGGAGAACGAGAAGGGGATAACAACCAAATTAAACAAGGAACTCACAGTGAGTTGCGAACTGCAGCAGCGCTGACAGGCAGGTTTTGTTTCATCGCACTGTAACGGACACACGAGATCAATGATTCTGAATGCGGATAAAACGGGAGGTCGCGATAGGGCGGGATACGTTGGGGCCGAAGGAAATTCGGGCGGCGCAAGAATACAGAATTCAAAGATGAGCGCGATGTTGGCTCAGTTACGAACCTTGACTTTCTTTTTCCTGCACGTCAGGCAGCCCGTTTTGCTGCGCGTGTATTTTGGGCGTCTGCGCTCCGTCTTGAGCGTACGTTCGGGGTATGACGAAGGAGCGTATTGCGCGTAAGGCGTCGAGTAGTATTGAGGTAGATAGTGGACCGGCGGCTGGCCAGCAGAATACATGATTGAACTGCAAAAAGTCATGGAGTGTGAAGGCAAAAATGTCAGAAAAATAATTTGCGGTATAGAATAGTGAAAGTCGAGGAAACTGAAAAAAAGAGGGGAAGGTAAAGTAAGCAAAAGAAACACGTACTGTGGCAATGCCTGTGCCATAGAACTGGTATAGTGGAGGGGAATAGTGTTTGGCTGGAGGGGGATGAAAGGACTCATCATAGACAGGTGCTGGGATGATTTATATGTTGGGATCGAACGAGGATCTTCAAGGAGTGTAGGGCGCAACCTGTATGAGACCTGTCGTGGCACTGACCGGATCAGAAGGTTTTGTCTGCACAGCGTAGGGTTAACTTAAGATCTTACGGACGATTAATGCATATATACGTTTCATATCATAAACAACCTAATGTCCCATAACGGGCAAGTGCATCAGTAGTTCCAATCCATCATCCTGACGACCGTACGCGGCAGCTGTCCGCCCTCCTACTATCCTGTGCCATCGCAAGTGTCAACACCCTCTTCTTGTGAGCAAAACATTCGGGGAAATGCTATGTGTTTCGCCCCACTCATTCTTTCTTTACTGTTTCGGTCCAAGGGACACTGTCTGTCAAGTGTTCACTAGGTACGCAACCATGCACACGCTCATGATCATTTAACCCCATTTTTTTTGACGTAACAACTAAGGGGTAAACTATGATGGGTGAAATTTCAGTGAAAAACACCAAGATGCGTTTCTATTTCAAGTTGTTAGTCTACTTTTTCTATTTTTCCACGCCCGCGACCCTGTTGATTTCGGCGTGATTCTTGATAGTCCTGAATGACCATGGGCGCACAGGTCATAGCATTGGGCTTGTTGCATCCGCTAAAGGAATGGCCTACTTTCGGGCTCATCTCAATGCCCCTATCAACTTTATTGTTACCAAGTACTCATTTGTGTGGCAATGGTCCACTTTGACTGTGGTTGACTGTGACAACGAGAGGCGCGAGATAAAATAAACGGGAACATCCCGATTGTTTCATGATAAGTGACTAACTAAACTGAGTCGGCGGCATTTATTTTCTGTCGTGATGGCGGGGGTTGATTTTCTTTTCTTCTTTCTAGAAAAAATGCAAAGCCTAAAATTCATATGAGGGTGGTGAATACAATACCAATCAAGAAGTGGACTTCTGTTCTAGTTGTCTCATTTCGGCCTATTCAGTACTCCTCGTACTCGGAGTTCTCTGTATCATGTGCTTTTCAGCAGAAGCGTATTGTATTTTTTTTGATCATCAAAAGGATTTCCTATCTCAGCGTCAGCCTTGCACACTGTGAGGGCTTCAATGCGCCAAGAGTTGGGAATTTCTGGCAGTTCCAAAGCGACATCGACGATCTTCGAGTCTACAGGGTCGGATGTAAGGAGTAATTGTATGACTGAGGACAATCCACGACGAAAAAGTCCGTATGCATCGGTATTGTCCAGCATCCTCGATCGTTCACGTTCCAGTCATCTCCACAGATGTGTTCTCTATGTGTTTGAGCCTCACAATAGTCATATGTCTTTTCCACGACGTTTCACCCACCTGACGAAATGCATGATAGAAAAACCATAAGTTACTCGGTGATACATCAGAGCAGAGGAAGCTCTCTGATTCGTTTATTCATACTGCTTCCGCGATCTCCGCACTAGATGAAACTGTCACCAATTTCGGTCTGATACAGAAAGCACGCTCAATGCGCCACGACGACCAGAGTCAGCAGCCAAGCAGTCTTTCGGGAACTTAGTCTTACCCACGGTCAGATACTGACACATATGACGGGCCGGGTCAAGCACGGGCCGCATGTCATCCCCGACCACGTCGGCTGTCAATTCATGGTGTACGGAAAGGGCAAACTCCAGACGTGCAAACACAAAGGCAAACGGCAAAAAGCCTGTGTAGGCTTTTTGGCACAAGCGAACATATTCCGAGAGATCGACAGGGCCCTCCCTGTGTTGTTCGACATGAGGTAGGGACTTCAATTGCATATCCTTTGCCCGACTTCTTTTACATGGGCGCCTCGCTGGTGATTCCAGATGTCAAATATGCTGGCGTGTCCGAGGAGAGTCGCAAGGCTCCGAGCACGTATCAAAGCTAGCTAACTCACACTTCCGGTCCGATGCCAAATATAGAGAGGTAGCAAAGACGGCGTGGCTAGGTAAATAAGCTTTCTATCTAACGACTTGAGCCCACTTCTCCCGTCGAGAAGGCGCACAGATCGGTGGCTATGGAATTCGCTGAGCGCGCACCGGCCTCGCCGACGTCGCAGTTCTTCGCACTTTATCACCTGCCGCGCGTCTAGGTCGGTTCTAAACCAACCAAAACATTTTCACCGCATAGTAGATCGGCCTAGTCCGACGAGGTCGCTCCTCAATACATAGCGCAAGCACAGTCTCCACTGGTTCATATGAATACAGTTGTGGTCTAAAGAAAGCGGCCCACCTAGTGAAGCCAAGAAAATGGAGTACATCATTGGAGGGGAAGTATCAACACAGTTGATGGATCAAGGTATATTTGCAGCACGAATAACCACAGTTGCGAATTCAAAGAGCTTGGCTATTCGTCCGTCCTAGAATAAACACTGTTCTCTCCGGTAGCTTACCGACGAGCCAGTATGCGCTCAAATCAAAACATGAAATATATACCGCGCTCGGAGAGGGCTATTTTAATAGCACCAAGACTATATACTGTTGAGACCAACATGTTGATCAAGACGTTTGGTTCGAGCTATCTGGCAACAGTCGATTTATTTGAGGACCTTCCTGCGACAATGGATACATTAATAATTGCAACAGTGTGGCCTAAGCGGCTATTTAAGAGGCCTTGCTCCGATGAATGATTGAGGTGTAATCGGATTAGCGCTGGGATTGCTGTAGTTGACAGAACCGGGATTAACAATCGCCTGAAGGGCTTTGCAATTATCGTGATTGAGCAGTACGAATTGCCGGCGGCTAGGTTCCTCGTCACATGCTTTCTCGTACGAGCACGTGCTGTGCCAAATTGCGATAGAGTTGAAGCATCATCATCAAGAATTCAGGATGCGCGGCTACGACTCTGCTCCGCACAACAAATACAGCACGAGAAGCCCATCGGCGCACAGGTATCAGGACCCATCGGCGGGTCGATCGTTTCGGCCATCCAAACACCTCGAAGCGTCACCAGCTCTGCAAATTCACCGTGGCGGATGATTTTGATGTGATGTTACGGCAGACCATGCCTCCGGGTCACCGCCAACATTGGTCCAAGTGTCAGAGTTTGGATTATCATTCAATTCAGATAAATCAAATAGATATTTCAATAGGCTCTGCACTATAAGTTGAAATGGCGACCCGAGCAGCTAATGGCATCACAAACGAGGTCATGCCGAATGCACTTATCGGGAGGTGTGTTTGAGCGAGTTGAGAAAACAACACCGATTCGTGCTTCGTAATCATGCGATATACGTAGAAAAGGAACTTCAATGAGCTGTGCAGATACCCATTCCTCGAATGTGTCATCAAGTAGGCAAATCCAGTCCACCACACAGGTATGCCCCACGTACTGAACTGGTTTCAAAATAGTTATCTGAGCTGGTGCGGGGGCTGTACTGGAATGGTCCGTTGAACTGCCGCAGGGGTTCCACAGATACTGATGGCATCGCTCTAACCCTGTGCGACGTGCAAGATCCTCTTGGAGACCAAACGTTGCTTGGAGACACAGATCATCATGTCACGAAGACTTCGAACAGTCGTTCATCTCCCACAAATTCGTGCAGGAAGAGCCAAGAAGCAGGCATTGCGATGCACGTAGTGATGGCTCATAGTGAAATTTCCGTCGCGGACTATTTTCACCAAGAAAGCTGATACGAAATTGTGTGTTTTCCCGGCCATCAATGTCCATGATGTGTCGGAGCGACCCGAGGAGAAAATGAACAACTAAAAATCAGCGCGTCTTTGAGGTACGATCAGTGGAAGTCGAGCCCGATTAACTCGATAAATAAGGATTCATTCCTCCAGCATCGGTGAAGTGAACTAAGTGGGAGTTGGTGGTGGTGGTGCATTAAGAAACGAGGCATCGCCACCGATGTGGTGTTGAATTAGTATCACTTGCCTATTCGGGGTTGGATCATGCACCGGGACAGCCACAGGCGAACACTGAAACGCCATAGGTTTTTATTATTTGTCTCCTGTAGCCTTTTGCTGCAATAATTTCTAATCTTTGGAGGGGCACTGAAACGCCAACCCATTTCGTTCTTTCAGAAACGTGAGAAAAGAATAAAATAAACAAATAAAGCTACATGTACACGTTGAGGTGATAGATGGACACAGTGCAGGGATGTTACAGAGGGTAATGTCAGAGGACAAACAAATAAGGAAGGGTATGAAATCATAAGAGTCGTGAATGATGGTATTCCAAATCGACGAGGCAAATCAAAAATGCCTTCATGATCCGTACTTTCGGGGGGAGCCTGCAGGCGATTGCAATGCGGAAGAGGGCCATTCCAGACGGCTCCTCAATCGTTCTACCTCCCGCTCCAAGCTTTGGGCACAACCTGTCAGTATTCAAGCACGGCAGGAAAGCCTTCAAACGTACCTTAGAACCAGCTGTTTATATTCGCTAGCCTCCCTTTCAGCCTTGCGTTTCGCTATTTGTAGGTTCCCTTCTTTACTTGACTAGGGGAATACAATGACTCTTTTGGGAAGAACCAGATCAATGGCATTAACTTACAAGGGCAGCCATGTCCTCACGCATGGCAGCAATCTTTGCCTCATACGACTTCACTTCTTCCTCGAGACGAGAACGCATTCTGTCGCTCTCTGCTGGCGTCCCTCCCGTGCGAGACACGGGCCTATCTCCAGTCCGGTTCTGTCTAAGCACTTCGCCTTTCAACCGTGATGCGCTCGCGTAGGCCTTTGTCTCCAAGTCCACGATGCGAACATTAAGTTCTTTTACCTGTTTCTCTAAATTTGCCTACAAAACATCGGCGATTCAATAATGACGTGTAGCAAGACAACGAGGACAAACGACGTACGTTCTTGCGGTCAAGCTCAGAGTTTTCGACCCGAATTTCACCAAGCTCAATTTGGCAGTCCTGAGCGTGAACTTCCGCCTTCTTCATACGTTCCTCAGCCATCATCACGCGGTCTTGATGCTCCTCCAGCGCACGTTCCAAATCCTGTTTCTTCAGCTGAAGATCCTGGAGCTTAGATTCAGCCGACATTTTATCCGGGTCGATGTGATCCAACTTTATTCCGTCAAGCTGAGCCTGGAGTGCGCGCCGTGCTTTCTGGAGCATAACGCGCTCGGCTTCTGCATCTTCAAGTACGCCCCGAAGTTCGCGGACCTGCGAATGCAATGCTACAATCTGCGACTGCTGCTCAGTCCGGGCTGCAGTAGATGACTCGTAGGCATTCGTTAGGTCGGTTATCTTCGTCTCCAACCTCTCTTTTTCATTCTTCCACGCTCCGCCGCTGTACACCTCGTCGTCATATTGTAGTTGCAATTCGTCGTAGTCACTGCGCAGCTTGCGATTCTCCTCACGTAGCCGACTCATACTTTCACGCTGAGATTGTAGTTCTGATGGGACCTGAATAAGCGCCCGTCGCCATAGATTATGTTCACACTCACCATCACTGAGCTCCGCGAGTTTGGCTTACAGTTTGAGTTGTCATAAGCTTCAAAACACCGCTTAGAGCATGAAAACTGCTTACTTTGATATGTTATCTGTGTTTGACTCATTGCGAAATCACGTTCAGAAAGATCAGCCGCATGACGGTCGCGCTCCTCTTGAAGCTCCTCCTCAAGACGTTGTCGACCCAACTCAAGATCTGAAGACTGACGATCGCCGTGTTCAAGCTCGGCGGACAGATCACGAAGGTTCTGCTCTGCCTTGCTGGCACGCTCTTCAGCTGCCTTGCGTTCTTTGAGAGCTTGCGCATGAGCTTTCTCTAAATCCTCAAGTGCTTTACGAGCTACGGGCAACGTGTCAGGAATATGCATTACAGGTTGACGAAGTCGGCCTACCAAAAGCCTCGCCATTCGCGGCCTTGGCCCGCTCTATTTCATTTTGCTCCAGTCGCGTTAGATAGCTTTCAGCCTTCGCACGATAAGCTTTGACAGCTTCGGCCAATTCGGAGTGCTTCATGGATGCCGCGGCTGAAGATACCTTCGCATCTTGCAATTCGCCCTGTAACTTGCGTTTCGTATCTGCCAGATCATTTAAGCATGATGGACACAAATAGAAAACACCTCGACCCACTAGATTCTTCACTCCTCGCTAACTTCTCGCGTTCAACTTTATCCTGAAGATTGGTAAGTTCAGACTGCAGCTTCATCTTCATCTGAGTGAGCTCTTGATTCTGACGGCGCTGTGCTTCTAGTTCCGTCTGAGCGTTCCTTTGTTGAACAATCTGTGATCAAGCAAGCGTAGGTAGCAATGATCGATTTGAGAGCCGCAAGCACATACCAAAGCACGGCGAGACTCTTCCAGCCGATTATAGCTCTCGCGTTCCTCGGAAATGGTGCTCTGGAACTTGTCCCACATGCTTTGCAGACCATCCAGATGGCTTGCTTCACTCGTGCGGCGTGCTTGAGCCTCGTCATTCAGTAGCTCTCCAAGTCTTGCATTCTCCTTTGCCATACGTGCCTTGTATGACTGGAGAGATTGCTTAGACCCGTCGAGCGATTCAAGCTCAGCAGTCAAGTCCCTGAGAGAAGCCTCAAGGTGTCGTCGAACCCTGTCACTTGCAGCCATCTGGAGCTCTAACACTTGTACTTGCTGCTTCAAGCGATCGACTTGGTGGTGGTCCGGCGTCCTTGGAGCTTCAGGTACTTCCTTCATACCACGGATTATACCATTAAGAGGCTTATTCGTTGATTTCGTGGGCGTGCTGGTGACTGACCGCACACCTGAACTGCCTGGATCACGGAACTGCAGAGAACGATTGCTAAACTCCATGGATAGTCCCTTCTCTGTCTGTTGAAGCTCCTGCAGAAGACGAGAGCGAAACCCGTCATCATGGGGAGCGCCTTGAAGGATAAGCTTGCGGATCTCTGCATGATGACGTTCCACGAGGTCCTTGATGCGATTCGCGGTGGACTGTGCAGCCTCCGCTTGTTCAAGGTCGTTCTGCAGTTGCGAGATTCTAGACTCATATTCACGACGAACTTTGGCCAACGAGTTTGGTGTCGTGGTCTCGTCGGCCAGCGTGGAGAGTTCCGATTCTAACGTGCTCTTGGACTTTTGCACCGTCACCAGCTGTTGCTCGAGGAAAGCTATTTGGTCTTTCGCGGTTTGAAGTTCATTCTCGCTTCTACGAGCCCGTATTTCAGCTGCTTCCTTAGCTCGTTTTGCGTCAAGCGCCTCGGCAGCCGCACGGCTAGCTTTCTCCTCACTTGTGCGAGCGTCCTTCGCCCGTGCACGACTTTCCTGTTCAGCAGCGCGGGTAAGATCTTCTGCTTCGCTCGCAAGCCGAGCTTTCGATTTCTCCAGCGAACGGATGTAGGAGACATTCTTCTGGAGTTCAGCCTGTGCCTCAGCCAGCTGTCGGTCGGTGACCCGTTTCGCCTCTTCAAGTACATGCACATGCTCAACGATTGTTTTGTCCTGTCGTGACTCGAGTTGCTTGACCTCCCACTCTCGAGCCTTGAGATTATCAAGAGTTTTGTTCAGCTCACGGTCAAGCTTGATGTTAATATCCTTCAATCTGAGGATTTCGGCCTTTTGTGTCGAGGCATGTTTATCCAGTTGTTGCCGTTTGGCCTTTTCGTCATCAAGCTGTTGACGGGTCTGGTCCATTTGTCGCACCCAATTACTCTTCTCCCGTTCGAGCTGAATCACAGCTTCCTCATAATCCTCAACCTTTGCCTGAGCGCTGGCCATCTGTCGCTCTAACATCTAGGGACATGAAACGAAATCATTATCGAATCTAGATCGAAAAGACTAAGTTGTCACATACCTCTTTTGCCTTAATTGCGTCAGCGTATTGACCTTCCACATCCGTCTGACGGGTCTTCGCAATTTGCAGTTCCGATTCCAACGTGCGCTTCGCGCGATCCGCGTCGGATAAAGCAGTATCAAGCTCCTTCTGTCGCGTCTGGATTGCGCGCTCACTGTCTACTAGCTGCTGATACTGCTGTTGAAGGGAAGCATTCTCCCGCAGGGCGGTTTCCAAATCAGCTTTGAGGCGGTTCTGGTCCTCAATGTAAATCTTCTTCGATTCTGAGAGCTCTTGTTGTAAGCGCGACTGCTGAGTACGCAAGTCCAAGAGTTCCTTCTCCTTGCTCTTCTCAACTTCCTTGCGACGGGTCTCCTCCGAGCTCTTTGCTTGCATCAAAGCACGGAGCTCATCCAATTCCTTCTGCAAGCGAGCGCGCATCTCTGTACTCCGGACATTTTCGCCCTTCTGAGCGTCAAGCTGAGACTTCGCTGTCTCGGCTTGTCCCTGAAGTTGGGTGATCTCCTTGAGAGCTTCATCCTTTTCATCAGATAGATGTTCCAAATCAGCAGTAAGACGTGCAATCTCGGCCTCTTTCTTTGTAATCAAAGTGTCGTACTGATTTGCCGTACGGGCCATCTCTGCAAGCTGTTCCTGGGCTTGCCGAACTTCATGTTCGAGAGTGTCTGATCGCGCTTTAGCAAGTTCGCTACATTCATCATCAGCCCATCATCAGTAATGTACGGCTAAGTCCGAGCTAGTGTTTCACTTACCGAGCCCGGATCTCGGAAGCAAGTTTGGCCTCCAGTTCAGTAACCGTCGCTTCCAGGCGCTCTTTTGCTCGCAGTATGTCCTCCTCTCGCTCAGTCAACTGGCGTTTAGCATCGTCAGATGCTCTACGTAGCTCGTCCCTCTCGGCTTGTAAAACCTCCAACTTTTCTTCGGCGATTGCCAAGCTTTGTGAAAGCTCTTCCTCCCTTATCTTCCATTCCTTCTGATCCTGCTCGAAGCGCACGAGGTGGTTGGCGGCCTCGTCAAACGCCTCCCGAAGGGCCTCATATTTCTCCTCAGTAGCCTTGTGGTTAGCCATTACTCTATCCAGTTGCGAATCGAGTGTGTCTAGGTCTGTCTGAAGGGCTGAGACGTCTTCTTCGAGTTCCGAAATACGATCTGCACTTCGCTTGAGCTGTACATCCTTCTCAAGCCCTACTGATCGCTCAGCCTCTAGATCATCCTCAACTTTCCGTTTATCGGCCTCCAGCCGCATCTTGAGACCTTCTAGGGCTTCCTTCTCGCGGAGATCACGCTCAGCTCTTTCTTTAAAAAGAGCTAACTCTGCCTCTTTCCTTCTCAGTTCTTCGTCGTTTCGTGTTGCTGCGAGTAACGGCCGGACCTAAATATTAATTAATAAATATTAATTAAATTGTACTTTATACAGAGAACGTGTGTACCTTGGTATATAGCTGCCACCATGGCCATTCTCTGAGTTCGCCATAGATACGAGCGTTTCGCTGAATCGTCCGAACGGCAATCGCACGATTCAGTATCTTCTTCATCTGCCGCCGCGCAGTCCACATGCGCGCGGCCCCCTGCAACCTCGAGAAGATGTCAAACAACAAGGCATCTCGTCGCTCTTCTAGGTCTGCTAGTATTCCCGCCTTAAAGAAAAGTTTGGATGTCCCAATACGATACGTTGATTTGTCGAGCTCGAGAGCATCGACCATGCGTAAGCACGCCTTTCGCCCATCCATATAGCCCCGAGGAATAATGCCGGGAGTCAGCACTTCGTAACGTTGCCGGAACTCAACGAAAGGTAGACGATTTGGATATCCGAGACGTGCTATACGGATACCTTCAAGTACACCGTTGCATCGCAATTGGTCGAGCACGAGGGGCACATCCATCCGGCCCGCTTTCTTCATTCCGTTGGGCACAATACACCGCACGAAGTGTGGCTGCGTTCCCTTCAGCTGGTTCATCAAGCTCGCAAGTTGTTCTTTATGACGTTGGCCCACGGTACGGAAGGCACCCTTTCTTACGGTGCGTTTCTTCCCGACAGTGCCAACCAAACCGCTTACCACAGAACCATTCGCAGGTAATCCGTCAGCGTAGTCCGAGAAAAGACCAGCAACGTACGGCTCGTCCGATACGGCAAGAAGACGAGACAAGTTGTCATTCAGGGGATCCTTGTTCTTTTCTAGCCAGCCTTCGGTACGATATTCGACGTTACCTGCATAGTGCTTGACAATGAATCCCTGCTCGAAACGTGCTGGAGTGTATTTGTCTCGGCCAGGGTGAGATTTCTCTCCATCCTGCACTTCACCAGTCCAGAGCTGATGAAGTTTATGCGTGAATGTCGCATCAGTCGCCTTTGGCATAATGCATTCCTCGTCCAAACAGCTCAATATACCGATAGTGTTACCACTGGCCTCGATTAGTTCAATGGTCGGCTGCGAATCAAGACCAAAGTCGTGGTATTCCCACTCAATACTCTCGCGCGCGTATTCTTCCTGCTCGAGCTCGAACATATGGTGATTAAAGAATTGTTGCAGCTTCTCGTTTGTGTAGTTGATGAGCAGTTGCTCATACGCATTCACGTCGAAAATCTCGAATCCTGCAATGTCAAGTACACCAATGAATGTCGACTTAGATGATGGTCTGTCGAGCGCGCGATTAATTCGGTCGACGAGTGCACCAAAGCTCTTCTCGTAGAGTGTCTTGCATAGTGCAGACAGCTCATCCAGAGCATGCTGTCGCGTGCGAGCTTGTGTGACCCATTCTCGACCCGCGAGGACGCGAGGGCGTAATACGGCTTTCGTAAACTCGCCAACAGGAATACCTAAGAGGTGGCAGACACGTTCTGCCTGTGCAGAGTCAGGCATTAGCGCATCGTCAGCACGCGTAGACGTGATAGTGATGTTTCCGATGTGTAGGATTGCCGCAACTATACGGAACAAGTTGAATTGTTCTGCTGCAGAAAATCCGACAACTTCCAGTGCATTCTGTATATCATATGTTAGGTACCGGATGGATTGTCTGAGAAAGTATAACGAACCTTGAGTTGCTTCCATTCCTCCCTATCATCTACGCCGTCGACTTCCCGTCGACTCTTGTTCAGAAATTCATAGTCTTCAACTCCGCCATCCAAGAGAAGTTGCTCTACATGATGTAAGTAAAAAGACGAGAGAACAGGTGCATAATACTTGCCTTTGAGCTGAAGGTCAGCTTCCATGAGCTGGTAGAATACATGGAAACTCCTTTCCGCTTCACTCCTCACAACGACTCGACTCTTTTCCAGTAAATACCAATCAACGTTCGCGCCAGCTATGCTCCCGTCAGGTGCAAAGCTAATACGAATGAACTTGCCAAAACGACTGGAATTGTTATTCCTCTGAGTTTGAGCGTTACCAAACGCTTCGAGGATAGGGTTTGCCTGAAGGATCTGGCGCTCAAGCAGGCCGAGGCGACCCTTTGCGGTGAGCGATAGTTGTGAAGCACTGCTAATGCTCTTGCGATTCATGCTCTGCGAGCGCGGGAGACCCGAATTGAACGAGCTTGAGGCGGATGCAAGCGACGGTGATCGTGTATGTGACGAATGCACGTCAGACGCAATTGCAGCAAGGTACTGAATAACCTTTTTCGTGTTTTCCGTCTTTCCAGCACCAGATTCTCCAGTGATTAAGATGCTCTGGTTCTCGCGTTCCTCGCCCATACTGACCCACGCACGCTCGGCGACAGCGAATATATGGGGTGGGTTCTCGTCTCGTCGTTTCCCTCGATACTGCTGAACGATGGCATCGGAATAGAGGGGAAGGTTCTGGTACGGGTTAATGGCAACAAGGAAGAGGGAAGAATATGTCTAGAGGTGCGTTAGATTACGCCTGTAATTGAGAATATCTATAGAGTCCTTACATAAATAGCTCCGGAGCCATAACGAAGACGTAGATTGTGCACTACGCTAGCTTCATTGAGGAATGTCAAATCTGCAATATCGTCCACCCTGTCGAACTTTGGCGGGTTCATTTTGGACAACGCGTACAATGGCAGACGTCGCATCTACTCTGAACATCAGTATATGCGCCAATGAAACAGACACCGTAAACCCACCTCTCCACCGGCGGCCATGACCACCTCACCAGAGTCATCTTCCTCTCGGATAACCCATCCCGCCAAATAGCCTTCCTTATCATCGGGAACCCACACCCATTTCTTCTCGTTGAACTCTGCTTGTGCTGCGGCTATACGCGCAGACTCTGCTCCTTGCGAAAGGCGTGGGACAGCCATGCTGTCCTGAGTGATACTATAACGACCCCAGTTCTAAAAGCTTTTCCGAGCGAAAGAGCTGCGCAATGAAGTGAAGTAGCGTAGCGTCAAGGTGGATGCACAAAGCGTGAACGGTGATAGGGGCTGGTCGTGGATACTTGAGGACGTTGTACAATACAAGAACGCGTGTTCAATATCGGCGAAGGAGATATTGAAGTAATACACAGAGCCTCAAGTCGTCGGCGTCGTTCAGAAAGGAGATGACACGTCGTTGACGAGAGAGACGCGTTCCAGGACGCACAAGTTGAACGAACGTATCTTTCTTCATTTGGCAATATCTACGTAATGTCGTATTACATAACAGGTGTCATTAACTGCTAAAAATGCCGATGCATTAGATACCTCGCCGTGGGCCACTCACAGGCGTTTTTGCACTAGAGTACGAGTGGAAACTCCCTAGTTTCCCACAGTGAGGATTACCACAGAGGTTTCCCACGAGGTAAACCTCACTACCACAAGGGTTGCCGGAAATTGGCCTGTGGAAAACTCAAATGTATTAGTCATACATAATATCATGTCAGTAGATAAATTAAGAAAAAATGCCTCAACCTGACGAAAAGCAAGGAAAATAGATAGTTTGAGAGTGTATATACTCTATGTCTGTCATTTTATTAGGTCAACATCTCCTATTTTGCCTGACATTCTTTCAGATACTCCTTCATTTGAAGGAGTACACTCTGATAAAACTAGAGAGGTACAAGTGATAGATGTGGACAATATTTCCAGTACCTCTTCGGATGATTTACAAATTTTGAATAATAATAAAGCCTGGTCAATGTAACTGGTTGCCTCTTTCTTTTTATTTCTCTTGGATATATCTATTTATTATGTAGGTTTCAACACTGGTAGACTATAAAACACAATATAATTGCTCTCAGCAGTATAACCAATGTCTGAAATTAATATTACACCTAAATTTTCAGCTCAATAGAGGTACAGCACAAAATTCTTAAAAATTTCCTTTTTGGAACATTATAATGATATTACTAATATACTGACTAAGTGTTGTCCACGCGAGGTTTACCACGCCTCCAGAGGCCCAGCAAAATGACCTGTGGAAAACTAGTTTCCCACAGGCTCTCGGGAGTTTCCACTCGTACTCTATTTTGCACAATCTGACAAGACAAGGCATTCACTCGTAGCGTCTATAATCAAATATAAGAATTTGAAACTAGCCATAATCTGCTTGTCGAACGTGTCTTAGGAATAATTTTAATTACAATTTTATGCACATTTCGGCGATGCAAGGGATAGGATAGTAGATACTACTGCTTCTTTATTTTTTCGTAGAGAATTTATGTCCTATTTCAGCCAGTTTATCTTTCCAGCGACGATCTTACGATGCATTGCTGAAACCTTCCATTACTTCATGGCTATTACTAATACAAGTCTCTCACAACGAGCAGGCAAAGGAAATAACGTTGAAGGTCCAGAAAATTGTAAGAGTCTACGACTCCGCAGAAGAAAAAACAGTGCATGGTATTTACAGTTCCAATGACAGCATGGAGCAACGGAACCAGTGCCTGAATCGGTGACAGTTCATGTGCGATCGTGTACGTCCTCCGAAACTCCTTTCTCCGTGCTCGGCTTCCCAGCACTCTCGTCAGCAGCAGCGGCGTTGCGCGAACTATGTGCGATATCCGGCCCGGCTTTGGTGGTATGGAACAGCGTAACACCAGCGATCGCACCGAATAAGAACGCAAACCAAGGCAGGATCGCAGGCAATTTAACTGTCGGAAACGTTTAATTTAGCATAAGCAACATTCTCCCAACGTAACACAAAGAGTCGGTGTGAAATAACGAGTACGTACTATAGTTATGCGGCCAATACTTTGGCGTAACGCCCAATAGCTGTTCCTGCTGCTGTACAAAACTATCCGGCAACTGTCCTCCAGCAAGGAACGCGGTGACCTTCGCTTCCCTGTTTCGTGCTATGACATCATACGCAATGACAGTCGCCAATATCCACACTACCCAGAAGAAATGCAAGAATCCAGAGAAACGGTGTGTCTTGCGTGCGCGAGGGCGTAGGAAGGTGAGCAGGAAGGTGAGGAGAGAGGTGAGTGCGAGGAGACCACAGCCGACAGTAAGAACTGCACCCGAGCTAATAATGTCTAAATTCGGTATTGCGAGTTTAGCTCCCGTGCGTAGAACGATTAATATTACGGATACTGACCATGTGTGTTGATGTCAACTGAAACACCCGGAGGAGCTGCCTCTCTAACGAAGGCTTTCAAGTTGTTCGATCTAGAGCAGTATAAGTAAATGCAGATGAATTGACAGACAGCAAAGACGTACTTGACCAAGGCATTGATGCCCACCGACATGCCAATCACGCCGAACGCGAATGACATGAACAACGCAACTGAGCGTACTAGGCCGCTCATCGTGTAACGATCCCTAGGAACTTCCTTGATGTCTGCTCAGATGCGCCGGGGGGTGAAGCACAAGGTGGATTGTGAGGGAGGCCAGTAAAATATAAAACAGGGGATGACCACATGCTTCCAATATAGGGCTGCCAACTGAATTCGCATGACGCCCAGATCCAGATATCCGTGCCACACATCGAAGAAGTCTTGGATGGAAGCAAGTTGATACATTGATAGCATAGCCATCGTAGTTCTTCCCGACCAATCAGTCTCATAGAGTCCATGAGGCATCCTTCTCTTTTTTCATACCTTGTATTGCGTGATACACTTTTAAGACTTAGTTCCGCATCGGAACTCACCCCATTCCAACCATCTCCTCACTGCCCGTCCCACATTTAATAGCATGCCAACTTCCTATCCAATCATCAATGACACAATGAAGTGTCGTGTCGCACTAAAGAGGTCCCGTGTGGGGCCTTCAAAGTTCCGAGACCCTACGTGACGACTTGATGACTCCGACTTGATATGTCGATCTGTTATTTTTGGAGAAGGGAAAAGTTCGACGAATTCACCGAATGTGTACACGGAAGTTGAGAATAGAGGATGCCGGAAGGTACAAGTCGCCCCGGAACTTGCACGTCTCCGCGACAAAGAACCCAGAAGCACTGAGTGGCAAAGACAGACATCTGGTCCCGGTTTTGCGAGGACACCCACGAGGTATTCTTGGCAAGTATGGAGAGAGCACGACGCGGCACGACAATGAATAATCTGGCAAGAAGATTATTCTCCGGGCCCCAGGCACGAGGAAAATAGGAGTTACGAGGCGTCCTACATTCGCAATCACACGCAGTTGAATTGCAAGAAAAGCCATCACATGGAAAGGGACGTGAACGTCTCGTTCCAGAATGTAGAATTCAATAGCGGCTGCACTAGCAGTAAATGTGAATGCGAAAAAGATGACAAGGCACCAAGGGGTTAGATATGCCGTCTGGACTCTATGCAAATTTCAAGCGCGGCCGCGCGTTGCCGAAAGTTGCGGATTAGGCAACTGCTTCAAGTTCAACCGCTCCCGTCACGGACTCAAAAGCTCAAACACCTCGAATGGCTTCTCCTTCTCTTCCATGCTCTCAAGTTCAGCCGCAACTTTAACATTCTTCCGCATGTAAATCTCTCGTCAAACATAAAGACTTCTAGTGCATACAGTTTTATGTCATATGTTGAAACAGGGTGTTTCGCTCGGAAGAACGGGAGGATGACAAGACATGAGTTGACTCAACTAAATTGACTTGCACCTGCCTGTTCTCTGCGCGTTATCAAGCTTTTCTCAATACAAATTCAAAAGTGTTCTAACTTCCACACGAGGCAAATTCACATTATGGATTGATCAGAATTTTAGTCAGAATGTAAAAGCAGCCAATCAGAGCAGCTTTCTCACATTCTGATAAAAATTCTGAGCACTTTCAAAATTTGATTTTGCCTCGTGTGTTCTGTTTTCGAATTTCATTGTACTTAGCTTACTAATTCGCATTTAATCACGACACTCACGAAGTTAAAGTAGCACAGTAGAAAATGTTTTATTGGATAACATCAGGATAATGTCCCGCCCAAAGATATACATTACATCAATGTATTTTGGCTTAGACCCCGAGTTTTGGTCTGGAGTCTGAACAAAATTCTATACATTACATTATAGCATATAAGCATTACAATTCTATCCATTAAAGCATTGGATACCGAACACACTTAAGCATAATACTAGACTCCACCTCGGATAGCCGCTTGTTAGGAGTGTTTTAACAATCGCGCACCAGGAATGCTCGCGGCTGCCGTCTGCTGCGCCCCTGAGAAGTCAGAACTTTCGCGTAGAAAAGTCACGCTATTTTTAGATACCGGATCGGCAGTCATTCAATCTATCTAAGTCTTTATAAATAGTGCATGACATGGAAAAGGGTATAATTACTGAAAGATTCTCTCCATCCGATGAAGGTTGAATGGCTGTCCAACACCAGCTTACATACCTACCAACAAAGTGTAGTGATTCTTTGTTATCTAACATTTGGCAAACTTTGACTGCAAATGGAAATTTTCAAACTCCTAATAGGGTAAAGATGATGATGGATGGATGACCTGCGAAACTCTATCACTGCAGGTATTACACAGTGTACTAGGAATATTGGACTGGATAGTATACCTCTTGGAACCCAAAGAAAAAAGACCTGGGGAAGTGACTACTCGCACAAACCAGTAAATAACTCGGCCTGAATACATAAGTAGGCTAGCAAATGCCATTCTAATAGTTGTGATAATACAACAGGGATATAAATTTGTTGATGAGCTAAGGCATATCCATGCAAGGGAAGAGGAGATAGTTGTGTCTACTGTAAAAAAATCATATAAGGATTATTTATGCATAACAGATACAAAGTGCAGACGCACCACCATGAAAAGCATGTCGAAGGAAGTTGCAATAATGTAGATAGAAATTGTCAATTCGCGGTCATCCGTCCAAAACCGAGCGAAGGACAGGCACCGTACTCTGCCCGAGCCTGTTATCCCAGCAGGTAATATTGTGTCCTCTGCGTTGAATCCACAACAAATTGTGGCATGTACCTCACGATCCCAATACCAATTAGTGCAAAGATAAAGCCGATTGTAGTTACTTCACAAACAAATAAGTGAAGAGTTAGTGCCAAGGCTTATTAAGACGCGAAAGGGGGGGGGGCGGTAAAGTGGAACACAAGAGCAAGACTGAAACCTGGGATACTCACTGACGAGCAACTTCTCCCAAGGCTCCATCACGCTCAACGCGAACGTCGTCGTAATCCACATGTATAGTCTCCACAATAAGGCAGCATATGGTGTGTCAGGTTCTTTGTACATTTTCTTCTTCTCTCCTTCCTTCGGATACTCAGACACGCCGTATCGCACTGCTTGCATCGTATATTTCGAGTTGCGTGGCGTTAATGCTAAAGACAAAGAAGAGGGTGCTGAAAGGTGGGTCGTGAAGTTGTGAGAGTGAACGTATATGCAGCCTTTAAAGAGACAAAGCAGAGCGGACTGAGCGGAGGAGAATATGATTTATGAGGACATTGCATAAGAACGGAAGAAAGCAAGTCGGATTCGGTCGGATTCGATCGGGGGTCAGCGTGACCGCGTTTGACACTTTATCGACATCATATAAATTAGTCAGCAAAATACTTCTCATCTCACAAACGCCGATCCTGCCCAACTCTTCCGTCCGCGAAACGATATTCATTCGGAATCCCACTCACTATGTCCAGTGCAGCTGGTCACTTCGTCTACAATTGACACTACTTCACTCGCGAATCATCGGAGACGTTGTGAGTAGATGGCCTGGCACGTAGGTGCTGTCGTTCATACGCTCCATGCATGAAGAGCGGCGAACACAAGACCTGACAGTGAGGTACGTTGTTCTAAAATGGGACTAAGCTAACTCGATCTACAAGAGAAAACGTAGCCCTTAAAAGCGGCGTCAAGAGTCAAGTGACTTGTGGACGGGTCAGCTGATAGAGTCTCTCCGTTCCGTTCATATGTTTTCTTACAATGTCATTGGTAGATTATTTTCCTAAACTGTTACAACTTCACTTCTATTTCAAAGATGAAATGCTAGAGCGGAAGCTTGCTTTTCCGCACAAGCGTCTATGTACTACCAGGGACTTACCTTGCTATGGCGAATCTATGTGACCTGTTCTCTACAAGGACGCCCGGGTCTGTTCACCTCTTCTTGCTTTGAAGTTTGCCTCTGTCTCTGGATCAGCAAACGCATAGTCAATGTAACCAACTGGATCTCCAGGAACATAGAAGGTCTTCCGGTCGTACGGCGTTAGAGAGATATTCTTCCTTATTCGTGAAGGCAGGTCCGGCTGAAGTATCAAGACAAAATCGAGAAATTTCAGCAACGTGGTCGAAGTAGAGGGAAGAAGGTCACTTACGTTCGAGATGTAATACCTCCCGAACACGATAAGCTGGTCATTATCTTCTGCGTCCTTCAACGCCGTCTCAGGCGTATGACCACCTGCACCCAGATACACTGAACCATTCGTAAGGCTGTTCGGACCCTTCCAGATCGCACGCAAGAAGTCATTCGACTCTCCCGCAAGAGGCTCACGATCTACATTTCCCAATTTTCCCATAACGCGAGGCTCGACAATATGGATGTAAGAGAAACGCGGGTAAGCTTCGCGGATTCGTGCAACGAGAAGTGCAAAGGTCGGTTGTGGATGATCCATGTGCATATCTGCGGATTGTGAGTAAGTAAAAATAAATGCGTCAGTAAATTGACAGGTTAACGCGCTAGATCTCACCTTGGAATTGGCTGAACGGACTGAGCCGAATGCCAGTTCGTTCTTCTCCAACTTCGTTGACGACGCTTTTGATTACCTCAAGTGCAAACCTCACCCTGTTCTCAATACCGCCTCCCCACTGGTCTGTACGTTTATTCGATACGTCTTGCAGGAACTGGTCAACAAGGTACCCATGTGCTCCATGTATCTCAACACCATCAAAACCTGCACGGTGCACGGCATTATGTGCTGCCTGGCCGTACAGCTCGATATATTCAAGTATCTCCTCGTGATTGAGTGGTCGTGGATTTGGTCCATCCTTTCTTGTGGAAAGTGGTATGTCAGACGCTGAGATGTACGGATGCGGTCCACCAGGGTTTCTCGGACCGTCAGGCTGAGCAAGGACATCAGGCAAAGCTGCACGACCGATCGCCCACATCTGTAAATAAATGTACGATCCTTGTGCATGTACGGCATCGACTACCTGAACAAACCCTTTCTCTTAGCACCTGCTTTCTGTTACTGTATAACTCCAGAACAATATGCATACCTTCTTCCATCCTTCGACCTGTTCATCACTCCAAATTCCAGGTACCTGTTCGTATCCACCCGCCTTCGCAGCAATAAAAGTTGCTTCAGTGATAAGCAACGTTCCTGGAACACTCGCTCGCTGTGCATAGTATTCTGCCATAATATCTGTCGGTACGTGCGCTTCGGTGGCGCGATAGCGTGTCAGAGGCGCAAGCACAACACGATGCGTGAGCGACATGTTGCCAACACGAATAGGTTGGAAGAGTTTTGCTCCGGAATTCGGCATCTGCATTAAGAGGATAAATGCTAGTAGCAGCAAAAATTGGCTGGATACGTGCCTTCGAGTACAGAGGTTAATGGGTCTACACTGTACGGAACCAACCTACAACTCTATGTGTCTTTTAAAGTCGTGTAATTAGCCCACGAAGTTCACGATATTGGCAAACACTGGTTGCTCACATATCGTGGTCAATAAGCAGAAGCAGATCTGATTAATGAACCGTTGCTAATGCACCTTATGGCGTGCTCATTACTTGTATGACTAAAGTGAAGTTCATGTTCTCAAGCCTGTGGGATTGATAAATTTGATATCACCGAATCCCGAGGTCACCAAATCTTATCTTAGAACTGCTATCAATACAAAAATGTAGTCCAGTGCGATTGTCTATGATCGACGGTGTTCATTCAATCTTTTGCTCGACTGTCGATCTTGAATTGCTGTGTGTTCGGGTGGGTACAATAATTCAGTCTTCGAGCTGAAAGTGTCGTTGGAGGGCACTACTCGGTACTCCTCAAGGTTCAGGAACGCTTGCTAGTATCGATGCTGACACACTTTCTTTACATCCGAATAATTCGGACTGCTATTAACAAGCCCGAAGTGTGCACACGTGAATTACATATGGTGAAACGCATCTCTAAACCAGTAAGAATAACTTAAAATTTCATCTGGGGGAAATGGAATAACGGGGATACTTTTTTCGTATATATGGTATTGTCAGTGAAATACATATTTGGCATAGCGAAACGTAGCAACTTTCACGAGTAAACCGTTCATCAGTCGAAAGAAGAGAAATGCATAAATATATCTGTCATAAATCATCGAAGACCTTCATTGTCGAGATTTGTTGCGAATTTCCCGCTGCCATAACCAGAAGCTCCGGCATTTTCACCATTCGCATGCGCCTCATACGGCGCATTTCCAGTAGGCTCTCCATAAGACGAGACGAATTCGTAAGTACTTTCGTAGTCCGGAGGTCCGTGCAGGGACTCGTCAGATGGACGTGGGTGTGGTTCTTGCTCCATTTTCTGACCTTCCGGACCTTGTGATGGGTTTGGCAATGCCTCACGAGAGCCTGCGTACGGAGAAGGAGGAAGCCCTCCGCTCTTCTTGCGCAATGAGAGTGGCGAAACGTCCGGTAAAGGGCGCGAATCAGAACCGCCAGTTGGTGACCTAATACCCGGACGCTTAAACGCTGCGGCGGATATCGTACGAGTACCAGGAGCGAGCATAGACGGTGATGCTGGCGAACCCGTACGGAGCGGTTGAGCGGCGGGCATCTCGGGTGGAGTGCCATATGTGGAGGTGTTGGTTGAATTGAAAGAATATGCAGGCGATGGAGAATGTACAATGACTGACATCGACGGTCGAGTATGATGAGTCGCTGCTGGCGAAGGGGGAGAGCTAGCTGTCATATGAGGATTCGGCACTTCCGTATTTGATGGTGGTGGACCACGGATATCAGTCTTCGAGCTGCTAAACATTCCTTCTGATCGGGGGGACATTGTCGCTCCGTATTCTGGGGAAGGACTAGTACGCTGTTGTGCGAAGGGAGGTACGGGAGGACGAAGCGGAGAGGGTGCACGATTATCTCCAGGAGGATTGAACGTTAAAGAATCCATCTCCCTTGCAACTTCACGTGCGGCAGCTGCGTTAGCATCCGCATCATTAAGTGGTGGAGGTGATGGAATCCGTTCTTGAATCTCTTGCCCTAGAGCGTCTCCACCAAAGTGGACGTGTCGAGTATGCTCCTCGCCAGTAGTGGATGGGAGCTGGTGCTCATCAGGAGGCGGACTTGCATAAGGAAGCTGAGTTTCTTCGTCATCTGTAGTCTCATTCTCGCGTACATGATGCGATGGACGAGGCTGAGGCGGCGACGCGCCTGGCGTGCCCAGATGGCCTGTCGGAAGGGGAGCTGGAGGAGCGGGTGGAACGTTGTCCCATGGATTCGGTTCTACGGTAGGCGGAGCAGCTCCTCTTGGCAATCCGCTAGGCGCCACGGGCACGTTCCGTCCATGTGTATCATGAGTCTGATACGATGGCGCCGGACCATCCAGGCTAATTTTCCCTTGCACCGGACGCCCATCCCTTTCTGCGTAAGCGAGTGCATCTGCAACTTCTGCTGCGAAGTCCGATGACAATCCAGACCCTTCGCCGAGAGGCTGCAGATTGAGATTCTGGTTCGCCTGCATCGGCGGTGGCCCCAAGCTCCCGGGAGGAAGACTCGATTTCCGCACAGGGAACGTCGAAAACTGTCCGCTCCCTCCGCCAGCGAAACGAGAACTGGGTGGTGAGGTTGTCGAAGTGAACGAACTACCAAAATTGCTTGGTGTGCTTTCGCTAATAGTTGAAGAAATCCGCGATCCATCGTCACCTATCCGCATTGGTCCACTATGCATAGGAGAAGGCATCGTGCCATAGTTACGTGAATCACGATGGCTTCCGAAACCACCGAATTCATCTACATTTGGGCTTGTTGCAAACCCCGAGCCGGCGCCAGTAGCCATACCGGTGTCCTGTAGGTAAGAAGAAGAATCAACATTGCCACGGCCAGGAAGTCCATCAATGCTGTCTCTGGTTCCTTCGGGGCCCGAAGTCTTGCCTAGGGCCAATGGTGCGGATAGTTGAGGATCGAATACGATCTCGGAAATGCACCGCTGTGCTTCAATTACAAGTTTCTCCGTTTTATCGTGGCCGGTATAGAAACTTCTGGGCTGACCCGGTTGCGTGACATCGAGAGGAATTTCCTGTTGATTATGTGAGGGACAACGATCAAACGTTCGGAAAGGTGATGGTACCTCAATAGCTAGTTTTCCCATTTCTGCGACAATAGTCGCTTTCTCAGCACATTCCAAAAGTCCTCCAAACTTCAACATCATCCAATTCTTCGTTGAAGACCGCTTAAAATCGCCGAGCCTTCGGAATTATTTAGCATATACGCCATTAAACGGAGACCTAAAGCTTACTTAGCCTCCTCGGACAGGATCTCATAGTCCAGATTTCGTATTTGATCGCGAAGGTTATTAAGCAGCTCCGTCTGCTGCTGAAGGCTTTTGTGCTTTACATATGATTAGTATATGCACTAACCTAAATGAGACGCACATACCTCTGGGCTCATCTTGCTTAAACGCTTCTCTGCGGAGTCTGCTTTTGTAGACACGGCTTTTCTACGACGACGCAGCTCGTCCAAGTTTTCTTCTCGAGTCCTAACGGCTTTCATTTGCTCGCGGATAGACACTTCATGATTGGCAAGCTGCAGAAGGGCAGACGACAGATGGCCAAGTAGATTCGTGGATGCAGAAAGGACGTCTTGGAGATCATCGCCTTCTCCCATCCCCCAGTGGCGGAGGCATTCGCTAGCCTTTGCCAAATCATTGCTGAGTTTCTGGAGTCTTACGCACGGTTCAGCCGCGAGGGCAACAGAACAAAGCGACGTAAAGTAACGCACGACTGTAAAACAGACTTCTCCGACGTAATCAGTTCTTGAAGCGGCTTCAGATCCTTATTACCCGCCAGAGCAGGTAGTGTAGAGTTGTGCGCAATCTTCGTTGCCGCTGTCCGAAACATTGTGCTTGTCGTCGTCGTCGACGTTAATGATGGGCAGCAAGTGGTGCGCCGCGACGGACTAAGCACCACTGTTCGGTGCTGCGCACTGCTTTGGAATAATCCAATAAACGGGCTGACCCGGTTGTTCCGGAGCTTCGCGGCTATTGCGTCATCAACGAGCCGCGGCGACCGGACACTACAATTTGTGCCATTTCACCACGATCAATATTGCCAATATCCCATTTATTTTCTATGTATGGCGCAATATCACTTCGCTCTTGTGCTGCTTCGCACCCCCAGCAAAGTCGAATGTAAACAACTGCTTACTGCTCAGTCAACTTCTTATCCCGTGGTTGGCATCAGTCACCCAGAACCCGAACAATTTTCATTCTACAATAGATCTAGTCGGGCTCGCCAGTCTTTGATTCAACCTGTTCTTTGTTGCCTAATTGTTTCGACCTGTATTTCAGGAGTGAGTCGCTGGAAATCGGCTCTATTGTGACTATACGCAATAGACAGACAACGATCCTCTGAAATAGACTTGAAGCCCTCTCCTGGAATGTCAACTATCTTGATTTCTCAGAATTTTGACATGTATGGGAAGCATCCCAAAGCAGTGGATGGGGAAAAGTCCGTCTAACTTATTATAATGCCACTAGAGCGAAACTGAAACAATATTGATATTGAAAGACATGTTGCATCGAGGCCAAAACCAATTTTCAAAGCAGTACATGATGAAAAGCGGTACGTACTACGTGTTTCAATAACTTTTCGTGTCATAGCTGTCTAACATATCACATGCACTGACACTTGCTCAGAATTGCAGTATATGAATGTTCAATGTTGTCAGCTTTCTCGAGGTTCACTCTCATCCCAGTTTTGCATCTGTGAGGTCGTTATCATTTCTAAGATGCTTCTATTTTTTCGATGCACCGCCGTGGAGAGCAAAATCAGCCTATTGATAATCACTCGCCAAGATAAGGTCTGGAGAACGACATCATCACAAAAACATATCACAGGGTGTGTTTGATAATGTCGGTCAAACATTCAGCTGCATTCCTCGCTACCGAAGGCAGCAACGAACTGTGGCGTATCGACTCTGATCTTGCGGTGCACTTCGCTGGCAGACTTAGACTGATCGACCTTTTCATACGACAAAAACGTCCGCTTGACGTGTTCACGGCTTCGATCTTGTGGCGATCATGTCGGGCTAATCTTTAGTGCAGTTCTTGTGGCTCATTTTAGGGTCTTGATACACTTACTTTATTCTTACAAGAAACTTTTCCAAAGATTCTTCTAAGGTTCGCCTGTTGACTGGAAATCTGTTAGAACTGGTCTACTTATGCGCGAACGGGAATTAAGCCAATTCGTTTGTGCTACCAAAGTCGACTAGAGATAACGATACTGAATTGGGCATCACCGCGGTCACGTCCGGGGCGGATCAAGCATGCGTCGATTTCCAGATGACAGCAGAAAAGAATAGCTCACGAACTTGATGCACAAACGAAACAGATAGGACCTATCACTTGGCTCTAGGAGCGGTTAAAAGGTCGACGATTCAGCGGTTCCCGCAGCCTAGTCATCTTGCTTCTCTCAGGACCCTCGAGTGCAATCGATGGCGACCCTCGACCCAAGTGATATCGCATCTCTTCCATTAAATGCGTATATAGCGAGGGTACGTGTCGAAATGGCTTACTCATTAACATCCGCTCATTCGCTTAAATGTATAGGCAACAATAGGTTTGCTACTCCCCTGTTGCTGGATTCGTTATCTCACGTTTATCCTATTAAAACTCAATCGTCGAAACTCAAAGTCGTAACAATCACGGCCTTGGTACGTTCCTCACTCGGTTTCATACCATATACTAAGTTTAATATTGTGAACTTTTAGACGTACGATTACCTGCTCACTATAGGGCGAGAAAAGGAGCTCATCTGGCCGTCACGCATTTCCGTTGTCAAAATCCTTTTCTTGCTAAATCGATACGTACCGTTTGTAGGAATTTCCGGTGCAACCTACGGTACAGAGTGCATATCATACTAGAAAATCCATGGACTTACGATCTTGTTTTTTTACTCATAGTATTGATCTCTTTGGATACATCTGCTCATTCACAAGTGAGTAAATACACGTTATAATGGACTAACACTATAATTTCCCTACTTTTAGAAATGCGTCCCGGCTTTTTGGGTGTTTGGAGGTACGCCAGGTTCACCGAGGATACTCCCCACAAATGATTTACTTAATTATGCAGGCATGGTGATTGCCGAGTATGTTTTCGCAGAACGTAAGTAACAACTTTACAATATCTTTAATATATATATTGCTTATTGGTCTACTCTCCAGTCATTCTATACACTCGAGCGTACGCTGTCTGGGGATGCACAAGACCGGCATTAGTCATGACCATAGGAACCATATTGGTTTGTGGATCACTAAGATGTAGAAAGACTTGACACGCTGATGCTCTTGTTTTATTCTCTCAGGCTGTCTTCACCCCAGGATTGTATCTAGCATCATCGTTCCTCAAGTCAGCCAAAGGTCCGTGTTGGTTGTTATGTATACGTGGAACACTCTTCTGACATATGTCCAAGTTGTTAATCCGCCTATTTTCCCTACGGGTTGTCTAATATATTTAGACGGACACATTGATATGCTTGCTATGATCGCCGTCGTGGTCTCAGAGGCAGGTGGGAGCAAGCCTTTGTTATTCTTAATTCCGAGTATACAATCTAATATCGCCATAATATTTCTCTCTAGCTTGCCTCCTGGCTGTGCTAGTAAAAGCTAGTTAGTTTGCTAGAAAAATATGCTTTTAAACTCATCTGACTATAGTTTCTAGCCCGAATGCCGCGATCAATGACTATGCAGCAGATTGTTGCCGATGGTTAGGAACCAGCCATGCTATTTAGGATCTGGTTGTTATTAACATAAGTTATGCATCGTTTAGGCATCCTGTTCTTTGTCGTGATAATTTGTAAGAAAATCGATCCATCATTCCGTTCTGGGAGATTCAGTGTTCATGCCCTTAAACTCTAGGTGTAACGACGGCAAATCTCGTCGTACTCAATGTAGCGTCTCCAGAAGTCTGTAACCTCCTGCTTGCGTACGTTCCCTTTATTTTACCTTCCTCGACGCATTAAAAAGCGTTGTCGTAGACCGCAAGCTGCTCTCCACAGCATATGCTGCAATAGGCTCATTCTCCAGATTAAGGCCGCTTCAACTCAGACACAATGCTCGCGTGCTAGCGTGTCACTTCCTCCCATGTCTTCTCTCCAATCTTATGAAACTCAACGGAGCGAACTTGAAATGCAGCCGCTGCAATAGTGTCCTTATTGCTTTTTGCGTATGTGGATTGATCTCATTTGATCTTGGTAATACCATCTTTGCTCTGCATACATACAGTAGCATAGACATTGATACCGTCAATCTTGGGTCGTAGAAGAGTTTATTGTAGCTTACATGTCTATTCGACTTCTAAACTAGTAATTTAGTGTATCCCAGTTCTTGGCCCATCATCCGCAATATAAATGCCGGAAGAATTCAAATTTTTCTAATCATCTCGAAAGCAATGAATCGTAATCCAGACATGAACTACAATTAATCGGCCCCAACTAAAATGTATTGTTACCGTTACACTGCATACACGCTTGCTGAACACTAATGGAAGGAAAGAAGAAGAAAAGACGAAACACAGTCTTGGCACCAAAGGAAAGTATTAGGCAAATCAAACAAGACGTAAGTTAGAACAAACGCTTGAGAGTACCTGAGCGCACAAGGAACGAAAGTACACGGGGAAGAGGCGTGATTTAATTAACCGAGCAGGATTGATGGGGATAACAAAAAGTGAAAGAGAAGTAGCCGAGACGTGTGGAAAGAGTACAGATACGAGGTAAAAAAGGAATCGTGATGAGATGGACGAAAGATGTTCATTCGTAGGGTATGGAAAATGATCTCTGTGAATGCGGATATGCGTCGGAGCAGCGAGAGGAAGCGAGGTATACATTGAGTGACCATGGCGAAAGGACGCAGTGATACACGTGATTGAATGAATCGCAAAAGTAAAGAAAGCCATCCTCGTGTTTAATTGCCAGGAGGGCAACAAGGAGATCAACCAGTAAGGTATACCGTGTCCAGTGATAGGCAAACGGGAGAGCATAAGCACTTGCACCCAATATCACACGACGCGTGAAACACTACGCGGTAAAAGCGATGGTGTCAGACTAAGGGTAGCATCATGACCAGTCATAGGTTTTGTATTTGCACAATCAAGAATTGCTTCTCATCCTGAGCAGTAAAAATTTTGGTCAGTAGACCATACAGTGGGGAAAACCCTGAAACAGACCGTGAACTGTTCATCCTCTTTGTCGTTATGGAAATCCTGCAGGAATTCCAGAAGCTTCTGTTTGTTTCGGCGTAGGATTGCCTCGATTTGAGGAGGTTTCTTAGGGTTAGCAACAAATACCTGTCGTAGGTGTTAACGAAGAACTGGATAACAATAAAGCTGCCTTCCAACCTTGAAGACATGGAACGCCTCGAATTGGATGTTGCGACTCTTATCCCGGAGCATGATCATCATCATCTTGAGATTCTTATCGTTCGCGATATACCTCGTCATGACATTGAAGTTTGCCCGATCCAAAAGTATTTCGCCAAGTAACTTCAAACTTTGTCGCTTCGTGACGTAATTTGTACTCAACAACAACACGTCAAATGTCGAGAAGAAACGGTCGTAATTCTTCTCCAAGTACTCAGCGACCATTGGCTTGTGTTTCGTGAGAGTCTCCTTCAGGTTCGCAAACGCGTCGCAAGAGATTCCAAAGGTGGTCTTTTCAATATAGTGGGGAAACAGGTAAAATTGTTCGGAATAAAGGAGGATCTTTGCGAGTGCTTCGTGTTTGAGCATATCACGTAAAATCATGCCTGTGTTGAGTGCAACTTCTTCGTCATCGTATCCAGCGTGCACGGCGAATAACACATCTGGTTTTGCACATAGGTATTCCACAGTCGGCCAACGGGCGCCAATTTGTCGTCGAAGGAGGTGGGTAAAGATGGCGACAACATCTTTACGTGCTTCAAATTCTAGGCGCGATAGATGGGTAACAAGGTGATACAGCAGATCCGTCGAATATGCTTCCTGTGCAAGCTGAGCAACAAGCTCCGGTAGAGGATCTGTGTACCGGAGATTAATGCCGGGCCACTAGTGGACGCGACAGCAACGTACCACCGTCTCCTAAAAGTACACCTTTGATCTGCTGAAGATATTTGGACACGTCTTCATTTGCCTGCCAGCACACCACCATTCGGAACAATCAATGACTAGTGTCAGAGTGTCAGTTGAATACCGAAAATCACGGGCGCACCTTCCGCCTGCTTTCACTGCCTGGAGCAGTAGATTCGAGGCGTGGAATTGCATCGCGCAAAGCCCGGACAATGTCCGTGGGGGTCCGCTGTTTTGTCTTGAAGAAGTTCATGGTTGTGTTCAATGCGGTATGCCGACGCTCCTCACACTGGTCGGATGGCTGATATGGGCGATAAGTTAAAAATGTATGCTGGATATCTTGAAAGGGACACTGCGGGCAGAGTACAAGTGCAATCGCACGGTCTGCTTCGTCGTTGTTAAACGCGTGCCGCTAGGAAAGACCTGGAAGTTGACTAATCGGGGTTGCAGGGGTTATGAGCCGAAAGGGTAAGAAAGACGGTGTTAAATCGAGGGATGAGAGAAAAAGATGTCTACGACAATTGCAACTGGGGCGACAAGGAAGGGCCAGAAGGAGATGGATGAAGAGAGACGAGGTGGTCAATGAAGGAGCCAACGGACGGCGAGCATAAGGATAAGGAATGGGTCGAATGAATCACGTGCATAGCCTTGACAGTTGTGTGTCCTGTCCGCAAACGACAGCCGTTGATCGACGCTTTCGTTTACAGTAACTGTCCTCTCACCGATGAATCCAGGATCCTCTGTCGTACAAACCATTAAGAAAGCACGGAATTGGCTATTCACCTTTACGTGTGATCAACAAGCATGGCCAACGCCAGACATAGCTTCAGCTCCGTTCAGTAGCGCGTAATATCAGCGCCCGGAAAGCACACTACTTGAGCGTTGCAAAACACTGAAACAAAATGTTCACAGGCACGCACTATTGGAACAGGTACATCTAAATGCCAAGTGGCTTTGTGAGAGCTTGAAACAAAACATATCAGCTCAGATGCAGAATGAATGAGATGGCATCATTGGTTATTTGTTTTGCAAGGAATAAAATTAGCATTCTACTTTGTTATAGGGATCAAGGGCAATGTAAGCACTCAACAGACTAGAAAAGCACAAAGGACACTGTGTTAAATGACAATAGTTGGTGGAAGTACAAAAAACGAGTTGTCTGTGGCTCAGAAAAAGGCATACTCTCATGTTATTTTGTTTCTAAAAGTTTATACTTTGAATTAGTATATAATATAATAATAAAAATCTTATATATTGTACTCACAATTGTTTTTTCATGTATATATTTAGATAGAGTAAGTTTAGCAATGATAGATAGATTTAATATACTATTTATAACAATATCTGACTAGTATCTAACAAACATAATGTATTATGTATAAGACTATTAATATAACTTGTATTTTAAGAATATATTAAAATTATTTGCTACTAGTCATAGTATAGTTCTGATCTATTAAGTAAAATTCTGTTAAAGATGGCTAATATTAGCTTGTGTTAGTGTGTTGAGGTTGTAAAGTTTCTTAAATGATAGGAAAAATTTGTCTGCAGGTTTGCACACTGCTCACAATAATACTAAGAGTAAGTCACACAAGTAGGGGTTTAGTAGACTCTACTCATAGTGTGTGTTAGGGGAGATGTGTTCTCTAGGTTGATAGCACTCTCAAACTGCAAATGTAGACCTGCAGCCCTTAACCCAACTATATTCTCAAAGCTACCAGCTAGGATTTATACTAGGAGAACAAGTAGGAATATGAGAAGAGTCAAAAAACTAAGGAACTACTGTATCTACAGACTGCTTTTTATAATAACTAAATAACAAGAGTAAAGTGAGGAATGAAACTTGAGAATAAGATCAAAGAAATAATAAGAACAAATATTGCAAAGCTAACAGGCACATTAGAGGCTAGGAAGAATTAACAGAGTGTTGTACATTAGAGAATATAGACTAAGTAGCTATTGTACAAAAGAGGCACAAGTTACTATATTGGGCAAGAAATAGATTGGCTGTGTTGTAATTGTATACACTACCTTGTGTCTCTGTAGCTCTCTCCTACACTCATTACTACTAGATTTTCATAATCCTTAACATCTTATCTATTACTCTACAAAGTTTCATAGAGATTGTCTTAGTAATGTTGGTTTTTTTGCAAAACTGACAGAGATATAAAGAAAATGAAATAGGTCCAATCCTACAATCCTAACATCACCTCCCTCCTTAGGTTGTACATCCTGGACAACTGAATCTAGGGGCTATTTTGTCTAAGCAAAGTGTTAAAGTCCTTAAAGGTTCCTTTTAGAATGTTCAGTTGTCTTAAGACACTAGGATGAGCTTTATAGAAATCCCTAACAGTATCCTAAGTATGAGTGAGGTCATTTTCAGGCTACCAAGTTGCTTCCTAGTATCCTACCCATTTGACAAGGAACTGAAGCTTTCCCTTGTAGAGTCAAGAGTCAAGGATAGTCTTGACTTTGTATTCAATCTGTTAACATTTATTTTGGATAAATGTATCTAATGTCTTACTATACACATATATGTGTTATACAATGTAGAACTGTCTCATTACTATGTGTTATTACACTAAGACATTAACTAAGACATACATTCAAGACATACAATATAGGATAGTATATATAATACATTAATCTAAGGATGATGAAGCTCACTATGAATTACAAACTACACAGTTGACTTGTATTAACACTTATACACTATGAGTAGAGTCTACTGAACCCCTACTTGTGTGACTAACTCTTAGGGAAACATTACAACCTTAAAATGCTAACAGGGAACACAATGCTTTAAAATCATTGTCTCAGTAATTATGATTCCCTCTCACTAACTATATGTATGACTATATACACTATAATCATTATCTCAAACACTTTAGTATACTATACACTATAGTACAAATGATTTAATATGCTCAATTGTATTATACTTGATAAGTAACATTAAACTACTCTATTTAATACTGAATCTACTTGATTCTACATGTACAATCCATTCTACTTGTCTACAAACCTTTAGCACTCTTATCTGAGCATACTAAATGTGAATTGTCTTGTCCTGAAGACTACAATTGCTTTATACAACAAAACATACTATAACACTTGTAACTGGAACGTATTATCTACAAGGACCTTAACATACCTGTCTGAGTATTCCAAACATACATCAATTTATTAAAAAAATAACTTTAGACAGATTAGTTGTGTTAAATGTAATAAGTACCCAGTAATACTACATTCAAATGCTGAACTACTTCATCCTATACTACAGAGATACATTATAATAATAACATCTCACTTTATGGGCAAACACATAATATTATATTAATAATATAAATGATTAATACTATAAACAAAAGAATAATACTAGTAAAGCATAATAACAATACTAAAAAAATACTATTACAAACATACAACTAATATAATAATGATTAGACAAACAAATAATGTGAAAACAAGAGTATAAATGCTACTAAAGCATAACAACTCAAATATAAAAACAATTTCTACTATCACAAACACACAGTCACAATAAATAACATATATTTACTAAATACACATATATTGTATAGATATACAAATGTATACAATGAAATAATAAAACATATTACTTAAATATACAAATATACAAATGTACAAAATAATAATAATGTATTCAAATGCATAAAACTATTATTCATTAAATAAACACAAAGTTAAATGCAAATACAATTGAACAAACACATAATAACAATAAAAACAATTAATAAAACATACAAAACAATGTTACAAACATTCTAAACATATATACTTATACAAAGTATTGAATTAAATTAAACCATAATGTTACAAACAAAGAAACAATATAATGATGCATATATGTATAATATTGACATTATAAATTATACAGACAAATACATATCTTATACCTTGCACAATTACTATTACAATACAAAAATCAAACAAACAATAGTTACAAATACATTGTAACAATATAATGTACTAATAAGATATACATGATAATGAAAGATTAAGTTGATACAATTAATACAAACAGTTTAAACAATATAAACATATCTTAGACACATTGAAAAACTATTATTAACATACAAAATGTTATAAACAATTAAATATCACTTAAAAACTTGACAAAATACAATAATACAGATACAAACTGAAACAACTAATGCTACAAAACATTAGAGCCTAACATTAGATAGTCTGAAGGGCCAAGCAACAGAAAGAACACTGCCACCAAGTACACAAAAGACAAACAAATGTTAGAACAAAATCAAAAGAAACAAACATAAGTTTAGAACTTGATCAGACACTTTACTAATGATTAAACACAATGTGTGACAGATTTAATAGATCACTACAAACAGTAGAAGATAGAATTCACAAAGAATATATTTATGATTAATACATAAAGGATATCATTAACTATTCAAAGTTCAAACAATATAATAACAATGTATTCTTTATTAACAGCCTTACTCAAGCTTGCACCTATTACAAAAGAATAAAATTAATAAACAGAATAGAAACAAGACACTATAGCTCAAATACTTTTGTCATCAAACAGAAGACAAATGATACTGAGCAAATAGGAATAACACATCTCAATATATGCAAATATAACAAACAAAATACACAAACTTAACCTTACTAAACAATACTATGAATTATAATTATCTAAATAACAAACTATTCAGACATATACATAATAATCAAACAAAATACACAAGTATACATACAATTTATTTGAGTATAAACTCAAATAACAATCAGTATAATGCTCAAAAGAATTAATAACTAAATCAAACAAAGATAACAAATAACATTGAAATTATTTAACAAAACACATTCAGGCATTTATACACAATGCTTAACCAAATAATAAAATAACAAAAATGTACAAACAAATCTATTATACACAAAAGACAATTGCTCAAAGTGAACCTTCTTGAATTGAAGGGGAGTAATAGTATATATTCACAAAACATAAAACATAACAAATAATAGAAACATAGCAAACAATTAAATGATGTGGAAATATTGACTATATTACTATTTAATCTTACACATCCTGTTAGAGGAGATGTGTTCTCTAGGTTGATAGTACTCTCAAACTGCAAATGTAGACCTGCAGCCCTTAAACCAACTATATTCCCAAAGCTACCAGCTAGGATTTATGCTAGAAGAACAAGTAGGAATACAAGAAGAGTCAAAAAACTAAGGAACTACTGTATTTACAGGTTGCTTTTTATAATAACTAAATAACAAGAGTAAAGTGAGGAATGAAACTTGAGAATAAGATTAAAGAAATAATAAGAACAAATATTACAAAGCCAACAGGCACATTAGAGGCTAGGAAGAATTAACAGAGTGTTACACATTAAAGAATATAGGCTAAGAGGCTATTGTACAAAAGAGGCACAAGTTACCATATTGGGCAAGAATGGATTAGCTATGTCATAATTGTATACACTACCTTACATCTCTATAGCTCTCTCCTGCACTAAATACTAATACAATCTCT